GTGTCTGGAATACTGCAGTGAAAGAATCAAGAGAATATCTTGTTGCGTACACGAGAAAATGGAATTTAAAACAATTGTGAAAGTAGCTGGAAACTGCAGAGCTCAGGGAATGTTATGCCTCCATTTGATGACGTCAGAGCCTCATTGTACGGCCTTCAATACAGGGGGCAGTGAGCTGGCCCGTAGCTACAGTGGGGCTATTGGAGGCTCTGCCCCCTCTTAAAGGGCCACTGCTTCTTAAAGCCCCCCTGCTTCTTCCAAAAAAGCATTTAAAGGGATCCTTTAAATGCTTTTGAGAAGAAGAGGGTGGCACGGGCCCCTCTCCGTCCCCTCCTGCAAGATTTAGAGGGCCCTCCAGCTGATTGGTGGCCACATGGTCCCTGCTGATCAGCTGAAGGGCCCTTTAGTCTTCCACAAGGGGAGGGAGAGGGACGCGTGCCATCCCCTTCATTATGACAAATAATGGCAGCCCCACCAGAAAATTTTTTGCCCCACGAGCCACAGGATCCTGGCTACGGGCCTGTGTAGGAGGACCATCCATTGGGCTTGGGAGTCGATGCAGGAACTGGTAGCTTTGGAATGCCATGGGAAGAGTCATGTTAGCCTAGGCACAGTCCCTCCGCCCGGCCTGGCAGTGGGGTACTAATAGGGCTTCAGCTGCCTCTCTGCTATGCTTACTTTGCAAAGAATGCTGCTGTGCAAGATTCAGTTTCCCCCATAACATCTGGTGTCAAGGCTGGATCTGTGTGCATGTTAAATCAGGATTTGCTGATTTGTTGGTCGTAAAGGTGTCTCTGGACTCTAATTTTGTACTATAGGATTTGCTTAGCATGTCAAAAGGCATGCTACTGCATTCTTGGCCTCAATTTTTTGTTGTGGTCATTTATAAAACTCTATATTAGAGGTTTTGTTGTTATTGTGATTGTTGCATTATAACTCTGATGTTGGTATTTTTGGTGTTTAATTGCTAAGGCTGTGAGCTAATGAAGTAAAGCTCATGATTGATTGATTCTTTGCATGTTTACTTGGAAATGAACATGGCAATTGTATATGTGTAATTTAATCATTTTTACCCAACCTTTTCAAAAGAATGAGATAAGAGTATGCCAGTTAACAAGATCAGAAAACAGTTAAACCTTCTTTGCATAAAACACGAAGAAAACAGTAATGCAAATCCCTAAACAGCAGGTTGGAAGAAGCATTTCAGGTCCCGGTCATACCAGTGAGATAATCCGGGGGCGAAGCGAGGCTTTTTGCTCCGGAGCAAATTGAAGCACAGTATTGCGATCAGACGTTTCCCCCGAGACTCCGTGCACATGCCCTCAGCCGCAATCACACGTTGATGGTGAAGCGTGGCAAAGAAGGGCGAGGCAGTTCAGCAGTATGCATTTGTGCGCAGTTCCACGTTTGCGTGCATACCGCTGGATGCGACGGGATACCAGCGCTTCCACAATCTGACGCCTACCCACCCCGTGTTTTCTGGAAACTAGTGCACTTTCCCTGGTATCTTTTAACTCTGCTTCTTCGGCCGGGCGATACGGGTTGCTGATGGGTGCGGGACACTTGCCAGATGTTTTCGTGTGATCACGCCCATAAAATCTGCCCGGCATTCGTCCCTATCGTGTGGCTAATTCTGCGTGTGACCGGACCCTCAGTTTACTAAAGGCCTTGGGTTGGGGGGTAAACAGCACAGTCTTGCGTGCTCTGTGAAATGCCAGCAATGCAGATGTTGCATATCCCTCTTCTCATAGACCATTGGTACCCATCCAGACTGCTTTGGTTGGGGGGTAAACAGCACAGTCTTCTGTGCTTTGTGAAATGCCAGCAGTGGAGATGTTGCATGTACCTCTTCTCATAGACCATTGGTACCCATCACATCTGCTGCAGGGCCAGCCACGTAGAGGTCTCTATCAAAGGGGACTGCTGGGAAAGTCTGAGTTGAAAGCCCCGGAGGAATCATGTAACAGGTGGAGTAAATAATTTTCCCTGGACCCAAATCTTTCCCCTCCAAGCTCTAAGGGGCTGGAGAAGGTACATTTCCTCCATCCTCTCTTTAGTTCCCCCCCCACACTATATTTCACACCTTCCAGAGCATGTTCTATCCTAAGACTGATTTTAGGTGTGTGTTTTTGGCTCTAATGTAGAAGATATCAGAGGCATGGGTGGCTGATAGAGCCAAGTCCATCCTCTTTTTTCATACCTTCCTGTCCTGTCCCCTGTGGACCCTGGTGGACAAAGTCAGCAGAAATACTCAGAGGGAGAAGGGAGGGGGAGAGTGGGCAGAGGAAAAAGAGCCATAAGAGAGGGTTTAGAGGTCCCTGAGAGAGGGGGATCTGGCTCTATCTCCAGTCTCTGTTTAGGGTGTTTGCCTGGAGTGGCCCCCACTGATTCAAGGTTCTCCTGCGTAGTCTTTCTGGAACGTTTGAAAGATACCAGGCAGACTGAGGTCTGTGCTTAGAAGTCTTTAGTTTAAGATAGGATTGCCAGCCAACTCCAGATTGGAAATTCCTGGAGATTTGGGAGCAGATCCTGGGGAGGTAGGGTTGCCAGATCCAGGTTTTGGAGATGGAGCCTGGGGAGGGCAGGAACCTCAGTGGGGCACAATGCCGTAGAGTCCACCCTCCAAAGCATCCCTTTTCTCCAGGGGAACTGATCTCTGTAGTCTGGAAATCAGTTGTAATTCCATGGGGTGAGACCCTGCCTGGAGGCTGGCATCCCTCTGGGGAGGGCAGGATTGCAGGAGGAGACGGACATCAGCAGGGATGTGATACCATCTCCCCAAACTGCCATTTTCTTCAGGGGATCTGATCCCTGTACTCTGGGGATCAGCTGGCCCCACCTGGAGGTTGGCAACGCTAAGGGGAACTGATCTCTGTAGTCAAGATCAGTTGGAAATCTTGGAGACCTCCAGCTTAACAGCTTTCGCAGGCAAGAGTAATCTGGCAGTTGCTGGCATTCTAAAACAATAGGAATAATTTGCGAAATAGTCTCCATATCTTACTTTCTCATGGAGCTCCATATAGAGAGAGGTGTTCTTAGCCAACTATAGTTTACTTCCTCTTCACAGTAAAGTAAGCCTGTTAGTTTTTATTTTAAAAATCTGTTTTCCTTCTTGTTAAATCTGGGACAAACAGATCCAGGTTGGGAAACCCCTGGAGATTTTGGGATGGAGACTGGGGAGGACAGGGATCTCAGTGGGGCACAATGCCATAGAGTCCACCCTTCAAAGCACCCATTTTCTCCAGGGGAACAGATCTCTGTAGTTTGGAGATGCGCTGTAATTCCAAGGGATCTCCAGGTCCCATCTGGAGGCTGGCATCGCTACAATGAACGGCAGAGTTTGTGCCTCAGAAGCTCTCTCAAGCTTTACCTCAGGGGTGGCTAGCTGTAAAGAAAGCCAAGCACTGGCAGGCCAATACATAGCTGTTTCTCTGGCCTCTCTGTATGCGCTGCTTGGTTGTTTATGCTGGGAAAGTTTGGGCAGTAGCCCTCAAGTATTCCTGAAAAAAAATTAATATGCTGCCATCCAGAGGATGGTTGCATTGTGTTGAGTGGGAGGCATTTCCCTGACAAAAAAATATTAGTGCCTGCTTACCCCACTCCAAGCTGTCACAGAGGTACTGAGAAGAAAAGAGGAGTTTAGACAGTTGGAAAAAGCCTGTTGGATGAGAAGGAAGAGGCAAAAAGGCCAAGAAAAAAGTAGCAGTAGTTTCTGCAATCGAGAGCATTATTGAATGATCAGCCTGTACCTAAAGAGCTTGTGACCTTAGGAAGAGACAGGGTTTGATATAGGCAGAAAATGGGGTAGGGAACCTACTGTTGAGAGCAACAGATTTTGAGAACTTAAAGAAAGAAAATAAAAAGAACTCCAACCTGTATATCTTTTAAGCTATTCTGTTCTTTGGGGATTTACATCAATAAAACAGGTATTTGATTGTAAGACTAACAAAAATCAAAATGTGTATATATATTGCTCAGTAAGTACTAATTCATTATGGTGTTCAGCCTCTTGAAATTTACAAATACCTTGTATTAATAATTTACAAACATAAAATGCATCATTTATATTCTGTGTGCTGCGTTTGCAAGGGAAATTTGTCTGCCTCACACACACATATACAGCATCACACATTTAAAGCTGTACAGCCTTATGTAAAATTAGTCTAAGCTCACTTATTTTAATGGAGATTAAGCCTACATAGAATTGCACTGAAACTGTCCCATTGGTTTAAAGATCCATAGAGAGGGGGCGGGGAAGAGCATGAAATGAATGAAACCAAAGAGTATGAAAATCTGTCAGTAGAACTGAACGGTCTCTGGAGGTGAAGAAAGGAAGAGTTAAAGAGGACTAGAGAAGTTAGAAGTGGGGTGGTGGTGATTAAAGGTATCATTGATTTCCTATATTTATTTATTTAGAATATTTATATACCTTGCCTTTTCCTGACCAAATGCAATCCATACATTTAGATATCCATTGTTGTTAAACTGGATTATTTATAAAGAACTTCAGAAGTCTTCTTGAAGAATATGTGTTGATTGTTCCTGCCCTTTTCCCTGTCCTGAGGCACGGAAGACATACCCAGGGACATTAAATGATTCCCATGGAGTTCAGTACTGTTCAAGACTTAGTTGTAATTTAAGTTGTTTTTATATGCATAATAATCAAAATCGCATATCAGGGAACGACACGTATCTGTGTTAAGGCTTGTGAGACTGTGAAAGTAGTAGTAGTTTCATTTGCTGTCCATCTTTCTCACTGGGATCCAAGGTGGATTACAAATATCATTTTAAAAAAATTTCTAGTCAATAAGGAGGTGGGTTGCAGTATACTGTTCATCAGGTGACCATAATGCCCCCTCCCCGCCATCTTGCGATGGTTGAAAACCGGAAAATAGGAACTGTGATTTGTGTGGGGGTATGTGGTTGACTATTCCCATTGTCTTAACATAAATTATCTGTGAAAATCCAGGAAAGAGTCCAACTTCTGTTTTCTTTTGCAGTATGCAAGGATTTGGATCCCTGATCCAGAAGTAGTCTGGAAGTCAGCAGAACTTCTGAAAAATTATAAACCAGGAGACAAAGTCCTCCATCTTAGATTGGAAGATGGCAAGGTAATGTGATGTCTTATCACTAGTATCTCATTGTTTAGCACCGATGGAAATTGCTGTAGTGTGATACAGGTACAGGTGTGATACGGGTGCTTTCCCCCCAAAATACAGGCTTGGCATAACTTTGGGGGGGGGGGCATCCCTGTTGCCCCATCAGCAAAGATGTTGCTTCCTGCCACAACATGCTTTGTGGATCCTTTCTGTCTTTATCTTGTCCAATTGCTGTGACTGGCTCCTCATAGCTCTTTGTCCTTTGCATCTCCTGCCCAGTGTTTGGGGACCCTTAACCCACCATGGAGTTCCAGGCATGTACTGGGTTGTATGGTCACCTAGTGGATTTTAATCATATAATGCTTTGGATGATAATTGTATGCATGCATCTCCTGGTTTCAACATTTCTAGGCCATACAGCGAGTGAACTACACATAGAAAGCCTGACCATACCTCTTTAAATGAAATGAAATGTATATAATTTAATTTTCAGGATCTTGAATATAAGCTTGGTCCTAAAAGTAAGGAGCTTCCACCCCTGCGAAACCCAGACATACTTGTGGGTGAAAATGACCTGACCGCACTCAGCTATCTCCATGAACCTGCTGTTCTCCATAACCTCAAAGTTCGATTTATAGACTCAAAGCTCATTTATACATATTGCGGTAAGCACAGAACCAGGTTTCTTTACTTTGCTGGCTGTTTTGGATAGCTACGTAACTCTGAAGATTCAGGGTGAATTTGCTTTTCTTTCAAATAGCCCATTCAGGGTGTTACTTTGAGAATTCAATATGAGTTAGCAAGTACTCTTCTGTTTTTGTCCTCACAGCAGTCCTGTGATTCTGAAAAAATTAGAGATGTTAAGAGTTGTTCATCTGTTTCTCTGACATTTTTCACCATATACAGTGTTAGCATTGTTCCTCACTCCTTAATTTTTTTTTATATTTAACCTCAGTCTTCTCCCCAGTGGAGAACCAAAGAGACTTACAGCATCATTTTTATTGTCACAACAGCTCTGTTTGGCCCACAGACTCAGGGTCACTCAGTGGCTCAGGGTCACCCAGGAAGCTTCCATGGCAGAGTGGGAATTTAAACCTGGTTCTTCCAGATCCTAGTGAGACACTCCAAGTGCTACACCCCACATGCTGTCTCCATTGCACTGTACTGGATGTCTTAACTAAACAGGCCACTTTGCAGGCTTGGCTTTAGAAACACCCAAGAGTTTTGCAGCACCTTCCTGAAAGACGGAGAGGTTTCTTGTGGCATAAGCTTTTGAGGCCTGGAGTCCACTTCTTCAGATACATTATGCATTATCCACGTTTGACAGAATAAATACAACTGAGGAAAATGCTTCATGCATCTAATGCACAAAGTTTTATGCTATGATATATCTTGGCCCTGGTCACACGGCAAAGTTGCCCCGGGAGAGGCACGGATGGTGGGCAGATTATCCGGGCACGATCACACCCCAACATCTGGGAAGTGGAGTGCACCCATGGCTTACCGCCGACAGTGTGCCTTAAAAAAACTAGTACCTCCAAGGTACTAGTAAACGTTTGCCACGGGCTGCCTCCAGACGCCCGTGGTGTGATAGCGCTGGCGCGCGGCATTCCCCTCCGGTCCCTCATTTATACGCTGGCGCCAAGGGAAGGACCTGTGGTGTGCCGCCGGCACGTCTGATCGCGTAATCGCGCATCAAACTGCACCAGGGCAATTAGCCACACCTCCCCCCCCCCCGCGATATTTGGCCTGTGGGACTGGGGCCTTTGTTGGTCTTTAAGGTGTCACAGTACTCTTTGTTTTTGTTGCAACACAGACCAGACCAGCTGCCTGAGAGATAAAACTGAAGTTGAGGTTAATAAAGGTTGAGATTTACCATTACTGGAACACAGGAACATGTGCTTATTTTAATACATGCCTGTATTGTTGCATTGTTGTTAGAATATTGTATAAAACTATTGCAAAATACTAAGTTGCTGTTTATAAAGAAAAAATGGCCCACCATATCTTTCTTTGGGGCCCAAGAGACATTTGTCATCCTGCTAGATGAAAATATTGTAGCTCTGTTAACTTGTGGAGCAATGAAGTTGAAGTGTTTCTCTTTTGATTTGGTTGAGTTTAATTAGATTTAGCCCTGAGTATTTAATGAGTTAACAACAGCATTTTAGCAAGTGATGTAATTTGGAAAATGCTACTTTGCCTGTACATAAAACCACTTGAGTATATACCTATTTTCACTGGAACCATTTCAAGAGACTCTAGAGAGCTCTTGTCCCCCCCTTCCCCCCATCTCTTAGTGTTACTATTGTTTGTTCCCCGCCCCCGCCCTTGGGAAATGGTAAGTGCAATTGATCGCTTGGGGATGCTTCTCTTGCAGTGGAGGGGGGGGGGAACCACTTGTTTCCCAGGTGAGCTCTGCCAGTGCTTGCATGGTTTCAGGTCACCTGGGCTAGCTACCGACTTTTGTGTTTTAAATTAAGCATTTTGTTGTTGTTGTTCAGTCGCATTACTCTGTAGCTACTTGCAGATGGAAAGCTGGAGAAATTTATCAGAATTGAAAGAGATTTAAAGTTCTGCTAGTATACGATGTGACACCTCTGCTATTAATTTTGAAAACTTAGTATGATTAACTGCCATTAAGGTACTCTTGGACTCCTGTTTCATTTTGCCATTGAGCACTGTGCTTCAATGTATTTATTTATTTAAAGTTTTCTATGCTGCCTTTTGACCCAAGTCAGGGTCCCGACTGACACGGCAGTGCCAATATCAGCACCTTGAATTGGACCCAGAAGCATTCTGTACCAACTGACATTTCCAAACAGTCTTCAAGGGTAACCCCATGTAGAGCACATTGCAGTAATCTAATTTAGATGTTATCAGGGCATGCACCACAGTGGCAAGATCTTTTCTGCTCAGGAATGGCCATAGCTGGCTCACCTGCTTTAAGATCTGTACATTCTCTGTTCATACCTAACTGTAGTGTTTCCTTTCAGATGGATAATGATTTCCGAAGGGCAGCTGTGTTTCTCTGTTGTAGCAAACTAAGACAGAAATCAAGTGATACCTTTTGAGACTAACCAAGTTGGTTCCAGCCTAAGCTTTTGTGAGCTCGTGCTCACTTCTTCAGATGTGTATGGTATAAAATTTTTTTGCAGAGGTTTTTAAAATGAAACTTATAGAAAAGAAGAGAGGGAAAAAGAAAAGGAGATGTAGAAAACAGAGGGAGAATTATTGTAAATCGTTCAGGTGTGAGTTCCTTTCTGCATAAGGGAGTGGAGCAGCTGCAGGAAAGGAAATATGGCAGGCTGCAGTGTCTTGTCACAAGCTTTTAGGGCCTGTATGTCTTGTCCAGACACTGTGTTTAAAATGGCAGAAAAATATGAAGTCATTCATACTCAGTAATATGCCTTTTCAAAATTATTCAAAAATATATTAGCTCATTGTATGAAAATGCTGCATGCCCTTGCACAATGGGGAACAGTTCTTACTGAGTGAGCCTGTCAGGATTTGTTTCTCTCTTTCATTAATGTCAGGAGTGGTGCTGAGGCTGCTGGGACAGGAAAGAACCTGGTTGAGCTACTGATTAAACTATAACTGCTGTGGGGGGGGGGTTGCTTCTGATTTTGGCAGGTGGGAGAAACTAACCATATCCTCCTTGGTTAGTTCCCAGGACCATGTTGAAAGATGGGAAGAAGTGCAGGCAGCTGCTTGGGAAACAATACAGACTGAAGGACAATTAAAAGTGATAAAGTGTAGTGGCCAGTTATGAGAATAAATATTGAAGCTGGTACTTAGAATAGGACTGAAAACAGATGGCTAGATTCTGCTAGGAGTTCTATCTTGGCACTGGATTCCTAAATCTTAGAAGCTGGCTATATATTATGTTAAATACAGTCAAATTAGTTATGGGGAGCCAAGCTCTGCCTACCTGAGCATTCTGAAAGATTTCCTGAAGATAGTCAGAAGCTGGAGGGGATAGTAAGCAAACTCAAAGGGAAGCAGAAACCCCAGCCTTCTTTCTCCCTGGCTTAATGTCTGAAACCCCCTCCCCCCGAGTCATAAGAACTTAAGAGAAACCATGTTGGATCAGGCCAATGGCCCATCCAGTCCAGCACTCTGTGTCACATAGTGGCCAAAACCCAGGTGCCATCAGGAGGTCCACCAGTGGGGCCAGAACTCCAGAAGCCCTCCCACTGTTGCCACCCCCCAGCACCAAGAATACAGAGCATCACTGCCCCAGAGAGACTATACCTTGTGGCTAATAGCCATACATGGACCTCTGCTCCATGTGTGTATCTAAACCCCTCTTGAAGCTGTCTATGCTTGTAACTGCCACCACTTCCTGTGGCAGTGACTTCCACGTGTTAATTACTCTTGGGGTGAAGAAGTACTTCCTTTTACCTGTTCTGAGTCTACCCCAGGAGTTCTTGCCCAGGAGAAAGGGAGAAAAGTACCTATTTCTCTACCTTCTCTATCCCATGCATAATTTTGTACACCTCTATCATGTCACCCCTCAGTTGTCATTTCTTCAAGCTTAAAGAGCCCTAACCTCTTTAACCTTTCTTCATAGGGAAGGTGTTCATCCCCTTAATCATTTTAGTTGCCCTTTTCTCCACCTGCCCTTTTCTGCATGGGGTGAGGAGGTGCTAAGCAGAAAGACACTGGGTGTGATTAAAATTATAGCATATGAACAAAAGATAAAGGGTGATAAACAGTGGAAAGAGAAAGGTGCCTTGATGGTTCATCCTTCCCTATGTGTTTGCCTAGATTCTGCGTGGCTTCATCTAGTCTTCAAAATACTCAGCAGGCAGAGCTTGGGTACTTTAAACGCAGTGAATAGCTGGGCTCTTACAATCTTCCTACATGTATATCAGAGCATCATTTTAGTAGTGACCAACAAGGGAGATGGTCATTTAATAGCAATCCAGTTTTCTGTGGTGAGTACTCAAGGAGCCAAAATGTCCGATGTCATCAGTGGACCACACTGTGTTACCTTTCTTTGGTTGAATTAATAATTTCCTCAGACTGCCTTGTGTAGACACTCTGACCATTGGCCCATCTAACCCAGTGTAACATTGACTGGCAGCCTCCTCCCAAGATTTCAGACGAAGGTTGTTCCAAAGACCTGCTGCATGAGATCATTTTTCAACTGGAGATGCCTGGATTGAGCCTGAGCCCCGAGACTGTCTGTGTATGCTTTTCTGATGACGCATGGTCCTCCTCATGGAGATGAAGGCTAGTTAAGAAGCATTAGTGCACAGTGTAAATGTTGCCAGGGAAATAAATGGTTCATTGTTTGCCTGGTTTCTTCAGATGGGTAGCCGTGTTGGTCTGAAGCAACAGAACAAAGTTTGAGTTCAGTGGCACCTTTAAGACCAACAAAGTTTAATTCTGGGTGTAAGCTTTTGTGTGCATGCATATGAAAGCCTATACCCAGAATTAAACTTCGTTGCCTGGTTTCTGTTATGCTCCTGACAGTTTCTGTTTCTTTAAACAAATAATTTGTCAAATAAAAAGAGAAAAGTTTAAAAAGTTCTCTCATCTCAAGTTGTTCTTTTTCTGTCTCTTTTTAAAATAAAAATTGCTGCTTTATTTAATATTTACCAGTGACATCTGATTTTTTATTTCACAGGCATAGTTTTAGTGGCCATAAATCCTTATGAACAGCTGCCTATCTATGGCGAAGATATCATCAATGCGTACAGTGGCCAGAACATGGGGGATATGGACCCGCACATCTTTGCTGTGGCAGAGGAAGCTTATAAACAAATGGCCAGGTTTGTGGAATGTAGACTTCTTGGCTGTTCTAGATTGTTTGAGGAAAGCAGAATGGTTCTGACAGGGATTGTGTTTGTGACCCTTTTTCCTGTCTGTGTAGTCTTGTTTCCTAAGATTTTTTTAAAAATTACATTGTCTGCTTTGCCTTAAAAAAAGCTTTGGATTCATTGTACTGGTGGCGTAAATTCAGGATTCATCTGGAAACTGTAGTCTACATTTGGATCTGACCTGATTTAGAATTCCACCAGCTGCATGCTTAAGCTGATCCTCTCCCCCCCCACCGCCCAGTACATAAGCATTTCATGAATCAGACTACAAATAGGTGGCCAACAAGGATATATATGTTCCTGCTTGCAGTGCTAGTTCTCTTGCCGTGGTAGCAGATAAGCCCATTGTGTTAAACTAGGAGTCTTCACAGTGTCCTTGCTCTGCAGAAGGGGGGATATACTTCAGTCAAAGGTTACAGTTAGGCATTCTGTAGGAGCAGGATTTGGCAAGAAGCTGCTGGAAAGCGTGAGCTGCAGGAGGTCTGTGATCAGATCTCATGATCTGTTTTGTTTTGACAGAGTCTGTATCTTTTCCGTGGCTGGGCTAACAGCAGCTTGGGGTGTGCGTGTGTGGAATGTTGATTGGGGAAAGGGTGCAGGGGAGGGGAGGATTTTAAAAAGGCCCTCTGTCATTACCACCACCACCAAAAAAAAGTTGCAAGATCTGATCTCTGATCTCCCATGTCATCTTTGCTTCTGCTTCTCCATATCAGGGTACTTTTTTGGCTTTTTTACAGCACGGCATGGTCTCAGGGCATATGATACAGCTGCCTTTAGAGTCTGGTCTGGCTGTTGCCTGGATACAACCCTGGGTGCGCTGTCTTGAATTCTATGACGAAAGAAAGGCAGGATTTGATGTAATAAATAAGTACATAAAAGAGCTCCCATCATGTCTGCTTTATCTCAAGTACCACAGAATATCTCAATCGCATGTTCGTTCGTTATTTTAAATCCTGACTTGATGAAACTCAAGGGGACATGCAGGGGATTTCCAAGCACTCTCCCATCTCGACACTGTCTGGGTCTATCCCTGCATAGCTGTGGCCAGGCTGCTGCATCATATGCCTTCCTTGGGATCTGGCCAGTGGCTCTTGAGTGCTTTTGCATCTTGAAAGTTTCTGGTCCGTTGGTAGATGATGCATTTTCATAACATCTCTGAAGCTGAACTATCCCTTTAGACCTGCAGTTTCTGAAAGAAGATTTCTTCTCGGCCTGTAATGGCGTTAAAAAGACATGGGTTGGTACCAATCAGGGCTTTTCTTCTGGGGGAACATGCCAGAACGGAGTTCCAGAACCTCTTTGACAAAATTCTTTTTAAAATGTTTATAAATCCGTGACTTTTCAGTATACAGATTGAAAAGTTTATTTCCCTCTTGAGAGTTCCGGCGCCTCTTTTTGGAAAAAAAAACCCCAGACCTAATAACAATTAAGGATATACAGTCAATTTATGAGCCAGGCCACTGCCGAGAAACAGAAAGGCCCCTTTAGGAACAGCAGTTTTGTTAAAATGGATTGGGAGAGAAGGAAGATAATAAATTGCAGGTCAGGAACTTTTCTGTCTGCAGGTTGGCCATTGATAGATAGATAATGGCACCAATAGAAAAGCAAAATGACAGGCAGGACGGCTTTGTGTGCATTTCCTGTATGAATGCAGAGAACAGATTAGAAAACAGAGGCAACTAAATAACCGAGAAAAGAAAAAACCCTGTAGCAAGAGGGGACTCCAGGGAGGTAATTCGCTTAGATACCGCGTGCCTTTCATTCCTTGCTTTAAAAGCATAGATGGAGTTAAAATGGGATTAGATTAAAGTTTTGAGGGTAATTCCATCAATGAGTATTAGTTGTAGTAACTGAAATGAACTTCCAAGTTTAGAAGCAGTCTACCCCTTTTATTACCATTTGCTGAGGGGCAACATTGAGGGAAATTCTGGATCTTATGTCCTGTTTTTGTAGGTCTTCTGAGGGCATCTGGATGGCTGCTGTGGGAAACAGGATGCTGGTTAGATGAACCTTTGTTTGTTCCTTGGTTCATATTCCTAATTTTATAAGTGACAAGAAATACTTGGATTTGAAAGTTCTAGATGTCTCAAGATGGTGGGGCTTTGCATGGAGCAGATCCTCCTACACGAACTTCTCTGAATTTAATATCAGTCAGTGAGAATGTACTTCCAAGACTGACTTATTTGTTAAGTATGGTCTTCTTCATAGATGTCCCAGGCAGTGTTCCCTCTAAGCTGAATTAGTGTGAGCTATCTCACAGTTTTTTAGCCTCTGGCTCACACATTTTTGTCTTAGCTCAGGAAGGATGGCTCCATGTCGGTCTGATTGGTTCGCTTTTTTGGCTACTTTGCCTCATGGCTGTTTGGATTTTTTCCTCAGTTTTATTATTTTTCTCACTCTTCTTCGTTTGTTCTTTAAAAAAAACTGAAAAAAATTGTTTTTTATGTTGAGGGGGAAGTTGCCAGTTTTACCTCAGTTTAGCCTTTGGGCTCCCCGCCCCTTCTTTTTCCTTCTCCTGGTATTTTTTATGGAGAAGAAGTGGGGGGTTTTCAACCGCTGTAAGGGTTGTGGCAGCAAACTGGCTTCACCTGACCGCCACACCCTTTGTATTTTTTGTTTGGGGGAGTCTCATCGACCTGAGTCTTGCCGGCACTGTGCCAGGTTTTCTAACCAGACACAAAAAACCCGATCTGCGCACCTTAAAGTGGTGCTCCTTGAGTTGGCGTTACATCCTCCCTCAGCGATGGAGTCCGAGAGACCATCGACATCGACTCCAGCATCGAGGCCTGCCTCTGACATCGGTCAACCAACATCAAAACCACCGGCATCGAAGGCACAATCCTCCGCTTCCACTCCGGTGAAGAAGAAGCCCAAGCCAAGTAAGGAGTACAAGTCCGCAAAAAAGGGCTCCTCTAAGTCCCTACCACCGGCATCGAAGGCACAATCCTCCGCTTCCACTCCGGTGAAGAAGAAGCCCAAGCCAAGTAAGGAGTACAAGTCCGCAAAAAAGGGCTCCTCTAAGTCCCTAAAGGTGGCAAAGAAGGGGAAGGTAGCGGTGCCTGCACTGGGTGATGCCCCAAAAGTGCCTCCCGCTTCAACAGCAGTATCGACATCAGATAGGGTTGCCAACTCCATCTTCGCCGGGAGTCGGGGGCTCCCGGCCAGTGTCGGGGCTGTGCACGCGCCACCCGGAAGTGATGTAGGCATGCTGGGCACACTGGGAGCGGGGCCACGGCCATACAAGGTAAACCCATAGAGTTTTCCCTTATATGGCCGTGGCCCCGTGCCCTGCGTGCCTACGTCACTTGCTAGTGACGCGCACGCCGGGGGCGGGGTTCACCCGAGCCCCGATTCCGCTGTGTCGGAAATCGGGGCTTCAAAACGGGGGATTCCCTGCCCCCGCCCACATTTGGCAGCCCTAACATCAGAGTTCCATGCCCCTCCACCGATACCAACCATTCAGCTACTGGACTCCCCTATACAACAATTAGAGGACCGTCCTTACTCCGATATCGAGATGGTACAGCTCCTTACTCGTCCTATGGATGCAGAGGCTTCTCCCTCTCCTTCCCCGTCATCGACATCGACGGTGTCAGAGGCTCCCGGCATCGATTCACATCGGAATTGACACGTCACCCTCCACGTCAGCTTCTTGAACAATGGAGACCACGTACGTCTTTGGGAGGCCAAAAACCAACCTTTCAAAAACCCAGGTTTGGATCCGGACAGCAGTCTTCAAAGCATGGTTTTTGTCTTCCCTCCCACCGAGTCAGCTCAGCTCAAACCCATCTTTCTCCCTTCCTTCACACCTGACGTCATATCACCACGGATGAATGGGTGCTCTCCATCGTGACCCGAGGCTACCATATCCAATTCCACCAGAACCCCATTACACCTGTCTTCGTCTCCACACCCCCTTCCCCACCTCTCCTAGAGGAGGTGTCCGTCCTTCTGCACAAAGGAGCCATCGGGCCGGTACCACCATGTCTCCACGGAAGGGATTCTATTCCCGCTATTTCACAGTTCCAAAGCGGGATGGAGGCGTTCGACACATATTAGATCTAAGGGCGCTGAACTGCTTTGTGACCTACCACCACTTCCGCATGGTGTCCTTGCAGCAGATTATCCCACTCCTCCAGAGAAATGTCTGGATGGCCACCCTCGACCTCCAAGACGTGTACTTCCACCTCACCATCCACCCCTCCCACCACCAATACCTACGCTTCGCAATTGGTCAACAGTATTACCAATATACACCCCTGCCATTCGGCCTTTCAAGCGCCCCAAGAGTCTTCAGAAAGACTATGATTGTGGTGGCAGCTTTCCTTCATCTCAAGGGTATCTCCATCTACCCGTACATCAACGATTGGCTCTTGGTAGTGTAGTTCTTTGTCAGCTCACGAGAAAACCCTTTGAGCCACTCACAACTTGCGACCTGAAATTCCTGTCATGGAAGACGGACTTTCTGGTTGCTGTCACCTCTGCGAGGCGAGTTGGAGAAATGCTGGCTTTCAGACATGCCACGCCTTACTTGTCCTTTTTGCCAGACGGTGTCCGAATCGTACCTGACATCTCGTTCCTGCCATAGGTAGTGTCAGAGTTCCACCTACTGGCAGAGGTCTTCCTCCCGGATTTCTTCCCGGCTCCAACATCCTCAGAGGACAGACTGTTACACACCTTGGATGTGAAACATGCGCTCCTGTTCTACCTGAACAGAACCCGTCCAACAAGACGTGACTCCCAACTGTTCGTCTCTTACGCACCAGCAAGGCTGGGGACTCGCATCACGGCTCAGCGCCTCTCGAGGTGGATTGCGGGTCTCATCTGCCTCTGCTACCTGATTGCCAAACAGCCATTGCCTGGCCCGATCAGGGCCCATTCAACTCGAGCTGTTGCGGCTTCCACTGCCTTCCTCCAGGGAGTTTCCCTAATGGACATTTGCAAAGCCGCTACATGGGCCATGCCTAATACCTTCATAAGCCACTACGTCCTAGACGTCCATAAGAACTCTAATACAGACATGGGACGTCGCATTCTATCTTTGGCTATGCAGTAAGGACCTGCCAGCACCCTCCTCCAGGTAGGATACTGCTCACTAATCTCCCATGGGTATGAAGCACAGAGACCACGTCGAAGATAAACAGGTTGCTTACCTGTAACTGGTGTTCTTCGAGTGGTCATCTGTGCATTCACCCATGGGTGTGAAGCACAGAGACCACGTCGAAGATAAACAGGTTGCTTACCTGTAACTGGTGTTCTTCGAGTTGTCATCTGTGCATTCACACCACCCGCCCTCCTTCCCTGCTGCTGTCAGCTTCTACGGGTGCGAAAATCCGTTAAAGAGCTTGCTACAATGCCGATCGATCCAGCGCGTGCACACTAGACCCCATGGGTGTGAATGCACAGATGACCACTCGAAGATCACCAGTTACAGGTAAGCAACCTGTTTTTCTTTGCTTCCCTTGTGCCACCCCAAATATTATTTTCTTCTTTGATGCCTGAGATTTCTCCCCCATGGGGACCCCCTCATATGGCTTACAACATTCTCCCCTTCTCCACTTTATTTATATTGTTTATTTATTTATTACCTTTCTCCCTTGCGGAACTTAAGGCAGCTTACCATATAAATAAAACAACTATTTTAAAAACACATACAAGGCCACAGTTTAAAAAACTCCAATTAGGACTGCCAGTAAATTTCAGTCATCATAACAGTGAGCTGAGAGTGTATGACTGGCTCAAGGTCACCCAGCAAGTTTCCATGGCAAAGTAGGAATCTGAACTTGGGTCTCCCAGATCCAAAACACTAACCACTGCACATACTACATGCTTGGTTTTAAAACCCAGAACCCAAGTTTGGGCACTTGTGTGTCAGAAGGGGAAGAGTGGAACATCAAAGGTGCTGGAAATGGGGGGGAGGGCTGGCCCCTGGCCCTTCTCAGGAAGTAGCCACTGAGACACGGGCAAGGAAAAGGAATAACTTTAAGGGCCTGAGCTTTGCCCATCCCCTGCTTCCAATAATGTTTCTTTGTCAGCATCATTAGATGATGATTCATCCCTAAAAATTCACTGTTCTCTGGGGATCCTCCCATCATACCAGTGCCAGCCACAGCAGAGGACATGTCAGCCTCATCAGAATACATGCCTCAGAAAAGGTGGGGAGTTCTTTCCACTGAGAACAGATCCCAGGGAGTTGGGCTTTAGAGCACACAATCTTCTTCTGGCATTGCATATAAGCTCTGCTCTGATTCGTGATGAACACGAGAGGCCAAGATGGGTTCATGTCTGCAACAGTTATTGGATGCTTGAACAAATTGCCAGGATAGATTGTATGATATTGCTCTGATTCGTGATGGGATCATGTCTGCAACAGTTATTGGATGCTGGAACAAATTGCCAGGATAGATTGTATGATTCCACTCCGTGCTGACAAAATTAGTTTTACTAAACGGAAAAGAACACCTCTTGGAGAACAACTCTTTATAATGAAAGACATAAGCTTTTGCCAGTGGACTCCTCCTGGCCAAACTTCACGCTTTTGGGAAATAAATACTCTCTTATAAATACTCACTGTTAAAGCCTTGGAGCCTTCTGAACCTGGATGGGGGTGGGGTGGAGACCAAGTCTGAAAGGACTGTGGAAAAGACGCACAATGAACTCTTCTTGTTCAGCGTGGATATTCAGTGTAGAATAGACAGCTCCAGTTTATTCTGCTTATATAGAGTCGCTCTGTGTCAAGAACTTGCCAGATGGTATTAGGAAAGAGTATCCTTTCTTTCTTTAAAACGTATATTCCTCACTTGGGCATTACCCCTGAAGTGGCTTTAAACAAGATCAAAATTAAAATCACAATGTTTAGTGATATGCAAGACTGAACAGACAGTCACAACAACCAGCATGAAAAAATCAAAGAATAAATCAGCTAAGTGAACAATATCCACAGTTCAATGCCAGTAGAAACCGGAAGTAAGCATCAACAGAAAGCCACCATCATGAACTCAAACCACCTTTGATAACCTGTTGATATTGTAGGTTGGGACTGGACTTGATAGCATTTATAATCTGTTTTACTCAAAGTTTAGCTTCTCATGGTGCAGACAGTACTTGTACAGTACAGTTGCTTGGTCTTGAACCTCTTTGAAAATGGATTTTGGAGGTTAAGCTAAAGTTAGAATGTGAAATATGAGGTGAACATGCCTACTAGCTTTTCCCCTGAAATCTCAGGCTCCTTCCCCCTTGGAAGACGGGTTGTAGGAGTTGGACAGGATTTGAGCCTCAAATAGCAAATTAGGTTGTTAAAGTACATGTTGTCTTTCCCTGTGATCTCCCAAGTTCCCAGTCAGTATTGCATTGCAGTGTGGTATGGTGTGTGCACTTTTCCTGGCTCCCTCCAAAATGGGTGTGGGAGTTGAGTTGGTATATGTGCTTAAAATACAGACTGTTGTTCTCAGTATGCACACCACTCTTAATTCCAGTGTCTAAATCTTTAAGGGAAACGATGCATTGCATTGCATTTTGCATCCCCCACCCCACCCCCACCCCCGGAAATGGGTATGCAGGAGAAGTTGAGTTTCACCTTTTCACAGACAGGTGCTGAATTGGCATTTCCAGTTCTGCCCAGTTATTGTCACTTCCGTTAATAACTTTTGCTTGGTTGTACATCTGGCCTTCTGCAGTCATGAGTGCAATCTAGTGGCAGTGAACTGTGCCTACATCACATTGGAATGGGTGAGGTTAAAAGGTACGGTTTTATGTATTTAAGTCCCCATTGATTTCCATGGAAGTTAGATTTGTTTTGGTTGTAGTGATGAGGGTGGAACAAGAGAAGGAACTTAAATGCACTTCTCGTTCTTCATGCTTTCCCCATCAGATCCCTTATCTGCCTCCTTTTGCATCTCCTAACAGGTGTAAAAGTCCCTCTTTGGATATGTTAATGAAGTGCAAGTAACAAAAAGGGCAAGTTAGTCAGTTGCGTTTTTTCTGTCGCTCTGTTGTCATCAATTGAAATTACTCTGCTGCAGTGATGTTGCACCCTGGTATGTGGGAAACTCTGCCAGTCCTTGTTTAGTAATGATAAGAGAAATGAAGCAAAGCAGTCTAGAAGTAACACACAGAGATACAGTGTTGGAAAATACTTTCTTTTGAAATGCTTTTGTATAAGGAGCTTATGAATGCAAATATTGCTGGTCCAAAAGGGAAACTGGTTTATATAAAAGCAGAGGAAGCTTAGATATTTTAATCTAAAAGCAGATACTGCAAATGTCTACAGGATTCCATAAATACACTATTTGCATTTGTTTTTGCTACATTTTGTATCTGTATGCATATTCTCCACATACTGCTTCAGAGAGCAGCTGAAACTGACTTGCTTCTATTTCAGAGATGAACGGAACCAGTCAATCATTGTAAGTGGGGAATCTGGAGCTGGAAAGACAGTCTCTGCAAAGTATGCAATGAGATATTTTGCCACTGTAAGTGGGTCTGCCAGTGAAGCAAATGTTGAAGAGAAGGTATTGGCTTCTAATCCTATAATGGAGGTAAGAGAGTGGAGGAACATGTAAAAGGGATGTAAAGGGCATGGGGTGCCTATATGGGGAGGGTTCCCATCAACAAACAGTACTTTGCCAGTGTTTGAAATGATCAGACCCTTTTACTTCTAAGGTAGGAAAGTCAAAATGAAACCTCAGGACCAGGTGCAATTTCAGAACTTGGTGTTTACCATCCTAAACTTAATTTCTAGTGTGTGAATCTGGGACCTACTCCCAGTCTTACTGTACATATGGGTTTCAGGGACAAGTACCATCTAAATAAACCCAAAGTGTTAGAACGGTCATTTTGTTGACACCCACTATTGAAGCAAGTTCATTTCATAGTTATGTAGCTCTCTGTAAAAGGGTCCAGTTCAACAGACTCTTCACCTTTCTTGTGTTTATTGTGGATACCTTTAATAGACAATTGATTTCATTGTTTGTTTGGCCTTATCTGCTTTCCTGTGTTTAAAGCTGCATACAATATTGGAAATCTTATCACAGTTAAATAAATATTGGTATACTATCAGACTAGGAAAGCTAAAGTCCATTTCATGCAGTACAGAACAAAATTTAGAGAAATGACCACTCTGCTGAATGGTACCGTTGTTTTCAGGATACAGAATTTTCAAAGAAAGGACTGATTTCTAAAACATGCAACCCGAACACTGTTTCTCTCTTAATAACTTAGAAATATATATCCTTTTTTCCTCTAAGTATTCCTTGATGCACAAACAAAAGCAGAGATGACAGTATCTTTTCTAATGCAACTTTAGCACAGGTGGTTTTGAGATACCGTACCTGACAAGGTAATTGTGCCTGGTTTGCAGTGTTGTGTGGAACTTCAAAATAATCTTACTAAATGCTTATTAGCACCGAATGGGCTAATGAGTGGGCATGTGTGTTCACCTTTGCCTCGTGTGAAGTGAGCCCACTCTTGACAGTTTCAGGAGCAAAGCTGCCGTGTAAAGGTTCAGCTCAAAAGGTAGCTTTTATTAGGAATAAAGTCTGTTTTACACTGATTGTCCTGTTTAAACAGATACATTTGCATCTATTGTGTGCCCCCCCCCCGGCAATTCCAGCCCAACTGCATTATTTTGTCTTGTTAGGAATCTTTGCTGTTGAATTCAGATGTCAAATCTTGTAATCCACCTACTGATTGGCTGAAAAGTTGTGTTTTATCATGCTTGTAATCCACCTGGGGTTCCAGTGAGAAAGGTAGATTATAGATGAAAATAATAGAAAGCATGTTGTAAAAACGACATAGGACGATCTGCAGATCTGTGCCACTATTACCTAAATTCTGTCCCAAACTTGTGGCTGCTTTTAGAGATCTGCAGTTAAGATTAAGTTTTGTACCACATTTAGCGTACAGTTGCCATTCACCTCACCTCTGTTGGTTGGATTGCTGGAGACTTACACAGTGCCTGCCATGTTTTTGAATCTGAGACTGGCAACTTGAGCACACAAACATTATTAAGGAATACTTATATGATGTTGCTAGTGTTTAAACAGTCTTCTTAACTGCTTACTTATTCCACATCATGCTTCTCATGAGGTTCCCTGACCCCTGTACTGGGATGCAGGAATAAGGTCAGGGGTACAGAAGTTGATAGTGTGAATAATATACAATTGTTTGCAATAAAAGTTGGTTTCCCCTTTAACATAAGAAGATCTCTTGCTGGGTCAAACCAAAGGTCTGTCTACAGCAGGGGTATCAAACATAAGGCCCTTACCTTATCAAACATAAGGCTCTTACCTGGCCCGCAAGCAGCTGGTATGTATGGAAATATAAGGTACTCCCCCTTTTATGATATCCCTTGGGAAAAACCTAGTATTTCATATGATTAAATAGATTTATTGGGGTTTTTGTGGGTTCCCCAGTAAATCAATTGCTTTCACTGCTAGGAATCAATTGCTTTTGTTTGTATTTTGAGTAAAAAATAATATTGTTAATTGGGTTTGCCTGTGTCCTTTATAAAGTTTATATATCTGGTACCTGGCATTACATTTTATGGCACGCATGGTCCAGCCCGACAGAGTGACATTTATGTCAGATCTGGCCCTCGTAACAAATGAGTTTGACACCTCTGGTCTACAGCATCCTGTTTCCTGCAGTGACCAACCAGATGCTTCCGGGAATCTTCCAAGTAGGACGTGATGCCAACAGCAGGACATGATGCCATCACCGTATCTCCTCACAGTGGAATCCATACATTCTATTATGTAGTATAAGAAGAAATGCTTTCTTCTGTTGCCATAAGACAGGTTTTTAATTCTCACATGCTGAGGCCTAACTTGTGCCTGTTAATTACCTGTGTGTATGTTTAGAAATCTTCCTATGCAACATGACTTTTTTGAGAATATTGCCAAGAGTAAGTTGTGTGTGTGTGAGAATCTATACTCATGAATCAAGGGGCTAGCCTTCTTGCAAGTATGGTTTCAATGACCTTTTGGCAATGCTGTTGTGAGACTGCTTACAGCCCTTTATCTCTCAACCCTCACAGTCTATTGGGAACGCCAAAACCACGCGGAATGACAACAGCAGTCGTTTTGGGAAGTACATTGAAATTGGTTTTGATAAGAGGTATCGAATCATTGGTGCTAACATGAGAACTTACCTCCTAGAAAAATCAAGAGTGGTTTTCCAGGTAAAATGCACATAAATTTTATGTGGGGTTGGGAAAGTGAGAGATTGCATTATAAACCTAATATCACAAAAGCAAACTTTCTGTACTTTCTGAAAGAGT